AGTCATAGAACAGCTAAAAATTAGCTAATTATCATGCAAATTAGGTAATTAACGAGCATGGATTTTTACCAAAACCTAATCAAATCTGCGCATTGGCCCAGAGCATCTATGCACCAAGTTTCATCAAAAACCGATGTATGGTTCTTGAGATAGCAGTGGAACAGTCGGACACACATACATACACACATACACACATACACACATACAGACACACTAACTGCAAAGACTCCCATTTTGTGCTTCGCACATGGGAGTCAACCAGACTGAGGTCCATTTCTGTCACTGATTCAGATTAAGGTCATCACTGAAAACTCTAGCATTACAATCTAAGCTAATTATTTATTCTGAGCAGGCTCAGTTGTTCTGTCAGTGTTGTTGGGAGAGGTAATTTTGGATGAAAATCAATCATGAAAAAGATCCACTTAGGATTTTCAGATCTGGAAAAAAAATTACGTGCATATTCGGCAGAGACTTGTTCATCAACCTGCCAAGTTTCATTGATATCTGCTGCGGAATTTATGAGAAAATGTTAGAGATGTAAAGGAAACGTCACAGATGGAAACCGGAAATAAGAAACAGGGACTAAAAATAAGGTTTTCAATAAAATTGCAAACCAAATGGTGTATTTAAAAGCGTGTTAGAAAATATATACATGTAACAGCTACAGAGCAGAGCAGAGTTGTGGATAAATTTGATGTTATTTTCTGTGATAATAATTTAAAAAGTACCTTTGATGTCTTCTGCACTTGATCCCCAACGTAAATTTTTCTGAACTGCTCAAAAAAGCTGAGCATTGCTAAGTCTAATTTCTCACTTCCTCCTTGTGAAAGACGTGAATCGGTCAGATTCATCAACTGAAGCACCCTGAAAACCGAAACAAGTAAAGAAAACCTAAGTTATCAATTTACCAAAACCAATATACATGTATAGACTTTATTACATTATGTACATTTATCTCTCGTTAAGACGCTTGTAAGCCAAACATGTACGTATACTGAACTTTCATTCGAAATGGCGACTGATTTCACAAGGCATCCTCCCTAAGCCTAACCCTTCAGTCCCCTAATTCAAGTGCCATTGATTGGGGTGCCAGTGGGTTCGTGTTAGAGTTAAGGTTAGGGGGTGTCCCAAAAGCACAAATAAAATTATGACAAAACAAGTGAACATTTTAGAACATTTATTGTAGCAAAACCATATATGAGAGAACAGTTTATTAGGCCAGAACCCCCCAAAACACTAGCATTACAACTATCATATTGCTTAGGACTCGGGAATGTAACTCTATTGTATGTGGGTCAAATAAAGAAAAATCAGATAAGCATAGAAGACAAAGCTGGCCAGAAGATGCTTGCGTGTCAAGAAATTGAGCTGGCAGGTCATTTGACAGACCAACACTTACAAAACACTTACACAAACATCGCAGCCAGAAGTGTACGCATCAATGACCTCATGTTGGTATTCTCAAAGCTATGTATAGCCTAAGAGCAGTTAAGGATCCTCCTATGTTTGTGTTGGTGCGGAATTAGTTTTGAACGGGAATTGTTTTACTTTTAATGGTAAACATTATATACAGAAATGAGGTGTGGCTATGGGCAGTTGTTTTGATCCGAGCTATGCATGTTTATTCATGTCATATCAAGAGGAGTTAATTTTTTCGTCTTTTTAAGACACTAAAACCTGAATTTTATGTCAGGTACATTGATGATGGCTGTGGTGTCGTGTCAAGCAGTCAGGATGAATTATTACAGTTCATTGACTTTGTTAACAACTTTAATCCAGCCATACAATACACGCATGAAATATCAAACACTACCATTTCTCGATATTTCTACTAAGGTAGATGGTGATCGGATTTCTACATTTGTACATTAATTTACACAAAACCTACTGATTCACATTGTTATTTACAGTATGAATCATCACATCCTACTAGAATGAAGGACTCCATACCTTACTCACAGTTACTCCGGGTACGTCGTATTTGCAGCGATGATACCGATTTCCGTAACCAGGCAAGGAATTTATGTGATTACTTCAAAAAACGGGGTTATCCTCGTAATGTCACTGGGAAAGCATTGGCCAAGGTTATGTCAATGTCAAGAGTGGATTGTATTGGATCTACGGTTTCCTGTGGCAATCAGGATCGTGTAATTTTGGCATCATTTAAATGTCAGGATTAAAAACATAATGAAAAAACATTTTCACATTTTACAGACCAGCGAGGAGACTAGTTCTATGTTTCCACTAATGCTTACTACTGCCTGGCACCGTGACACTAATTTAAGGAGGTTATTGGTACAGAGAAATATGGTTCTGTCCCGTGTAATCGACCTAGGTATAATACTTGTCCTTTTATTACAGACTCTAATCGTATATTTGGTCCCAAGGGAGATGTTGAGGTCAAATATTCGTTCAGTTGTATCACCATGAATATTGTATATTGCATTTCATGTATTAAATGCAGGGAAACTTTATATTGGTTCTACTGTTCGTTGATTGGGTGATCGGTTTGCCAAGCATCAACGTCAAACTAGACAGAAAAATCGTTTTTATCCGGTTTCACTTCATTTTAATTCTAGTGGACATAACATTACAGATATGTCTATTTCTGGTGTATGTGTTGTCAATGGCAACGAAAATCAGCTCAGGCATGTCGAGGAGGAAACTATATTCCGCCTTGGAACTAAAGAACCCCATGGAATTAACAAACAGTTCAACTCATTTGTTGAGCTCACTACCTGAGGCGCGTTATTTGTTCTATTGTGGAATTTTTTGTGATTCTAACTTATAGTTCATGCACGTTCTTACATTTCTATGTTCTACCTGTACGTTATAACACTTTCTTCTATGCTATCGATAAAGAGCCATTGCTCGAAACGTCTAGCTATTTTTAATAGTTATTTAGGACTACGATTACCAAATATTATCTTCTATATATCATATTTATCAGTCCAAGCAGCGTTTATTAATTTATGTATAGCCTAGTATCTTTTGTGCACCTTTGACACTATTATGCAATGCCATCATAACAAAATCTCAAAGAATATTATGAAAAGCTTGTGCATACAATTTAAGTATAGACACTATTTCTAATAAACTATCAAGACTAACATTTGTTTATGAAGATTTGACACCAATTTCAACTTTGACGCTGGTTGGTGGAATATTATTGATCCTGTCAATCATTGCATCACGCACTGAACACCAGACTGGTGACAATCATTACCAGTGTGTCTACTAGAGATACAGGACCCTTGTTTGTTTCACAGTAACCCAGCTTTCACCATTTATATAAGATTTTACTTTTAATTTATTGAAAAAATGCATGTAAATTTAGGACTGGGTCTTGGTTGCAAGATGAGATTACTCATATCTATATGTATCTCAACATGTATAATGTTTGTAACAAATTTGATCTGATTATAGAACAAAAACTGACATGAACATGTATTCCTATATGTGTGATGTATGTGTCAAAAATATGAATTAAATTGTTCCAAAAGCCTTGGAGATATACAACTGTAGTAGTATGGTTAAAAAGCAAGATAGCCAGCAGTCAGCCATCTTTGATCTGATTGTAAAACAAATTGTCATGGACATGTAATCTAAATTTTACAATGTATGTAAAAATTTGAACAGAAACTGACAAAGCATGCATAACATACCACTTTTTCAAAAACAAAATGGCTGCCAGTCAGTCATCTTGGATAAATCAGTAAACCAATGCATGCATATGTCCAGATAAAGTACTAGGCACATGCAAAGAATGAACAGATTTGGTCCACAGGGTTCTGAAATATGACTCTGGAAAGAAAGACGGACGGACGGACGGACGGACGGACGGACGGACGGACGGACGGA